GACTGAGAATTACTACGCGTGCGACAAGTCTGCAGAATACGGACTGCTCCCTTATCCGATTTTTTGCAGAAATACAGCTCAGTTGATTTTAAGTCTCATTCCCGCCATTTTACAACTTGATGAAGGGTTGAAAAACCTACTGGTACTTCATGTGGACTTAATTCATCAACCTTACACAAAAATAACTTCTGTGTGGCAAAACGGGGGGGGGCGCAAAACTACCTGGAGGGGGGCACATTTACCAGGTCAGGAGAGGGACATTTTTACCTAGGTAAATCTATTCCCCGAAAATTTTTACCAGGGGAAAGATTTACTGTCTACATCGGCACACCGCGTTTAGAGCTAAACGTTGTCGCTTTTCTAACGGTGTGCTTATAAAACCTCTGTTATTTCAAGCACCAGACTAAAGTGAAGGGATGTCTTTGGCTGGTCTTTAAAAAGCATGTTTAATTGCAAGCTAATAATGACCCAGACCGAAGTGAGGGTCATCGTCATTGACTTCAGTGGAATATTTTAGCTTCTTTGATTAAAATATATACATATTTTTGGGAATTGTAACGTCCTAGCAAAATAGAGATAGGGAAGCAGACGATATTTTACATCAAGTGTTTATGTTTGGGCAAGAAGTTTCCGTTTGTTTCTTCTATTTTAATGGTTTTTAAATTACAGTTCATTTATTTAAACCTAACTTACCCCAAATTACCAACCCCCAAATAAACCCACTGGGGGAGGGGGCAATGTAGTTTGATTAAAATAAATACATGTCGAAATTGTGACTTACCTAAAGTAGCGGAGGCATGGTAGCGCGGAAATACACAAAAGTATGTCACGTACTTTTGTTGCTGACTCGTGTTTCATCAACCATTTAAGACCAGCCACGTGATGGACATTCTACCAATGGGAACAGAGTATTAATGTCACATGACTTGTCTCTTGGTGACGTCATCATCACATAAGGTCAATATACCCTTAAAGCACTCCTATTTCAAGATATTAGCAAGATTTGAACCCGATCGGACATGTATTTCAGGAGATACAGGGCCTTCAAGAGCGCACCCTTGATGTCACGTGAGTTGTCTTCAGATGACGTCATCATCATATCAGGTCAAAATTCCTCTAAAGCACTCCCTTTTCAAGATATCTGCAAGATTTGAACCCAATTAAATTTACACTTCAGGAGATATAGTACTTTAAATGAGGCACAATTTAATGTCACGTGACTCGTCTGCTGATGGTATTGTCATCACGTGAGGTCAATTTTCGTTTGTAAACCTTCCCTTCATAACTACCTGCAAGGTTTCAATCCAATAAGACATGTACAATACAATATACAATACAAAACATTATAGTTATTGCAGAAAAGGCACAGATTAGACATTTTAAACACTGTCCCTTTTGGCGTTCTATACAATGCGATCCGCTCTTCCCACCACGTGGTCGGCAATTTTGCCAAGTCCCGAGAATATGCCCTACTCACTGTGCGCTGTCTATGTTACAGGCAGATATTAGGCGTCCACGCACGCAGTAGCCAATGCACAGTATGCGAATGGGATTTTCGAATTAGCAATTTATATTGTAAGGGTTTTGTCGACGGCGTTTCAGGTGTGTGAAAAAGTATAGTATATCGATTATGAACTTCATGCAGCTGACTCCAAAGTATTAGCTGTCATCTCATGTAAAATTCACGCTTTTATCTCTTACGGTTGATTTTTTTACCGAATTATGAATAACAAAAGAAGTTTGTATTGTAACTTTTCCAAACTTCACACACGTCTTGACTGGGTAAAGATGGTCATCCACATAAATTTTCAGGCAATTTGGACAAACTTTGCCACAGACATCTATTCAAAATTCATTTTTTGGTATTTTTAACCTGTCGCTAGAGGGCGCTCGATAATTTGTTAACCTTCCCTTCCTAACTACCTGCAAGGTTTCAACCCAATAAGACATGTACAATACAATATGCAATCCAAAACATTATACTTATCTTGGAAAAGACACAGATATATCTTAAACATTTGTCCCTTTTGGCGTTCCCTACAATGCAATCTGCTCTCGGCAGCACGTGGTCGGCATTTTGCCAAGTTCCGAGTACAATGACCTACGTACTGCACGCCGTCTATGTTACAGGCAGATATAGAGGGATCCCAATACGACGCTTTTAGCGTCGATCTGCGCACTTCCGCGTTTGAAAACGAGGCTGTATGTGTCAGCTTAAATTCTAAATACAATAAGATGATTGAAAGTAAGGAGTCAAGAAACAAAATACAAAAATTATGTTAAATTCAGATTTTTCAGGCTGCACATTTCTGTGGAAGAGTCTTTCAGGATGACCCCACACGTCAAATCAAACAAAAATATAACGGCGATTTACCGCGAACTAACGTACCTGGGATGGTCGTATATCTGCATGTGCAGTAGGCGTGGTTCAAACTGAAGTGGCATAACACTTAAGAACCGAATACTGCATATACTATGTCGACTCCGTGGGCGTGCGCGACGGAGTTCAACACAGAGAGCCTCGGTTTCGATGCTGATATGCGCAGACAGCGCTAATGTGAAATCCCTCTATTGGGCGTCCTGGTAGCACAATGCACCTTGATGCAGTGCTAGAGTCCACAGAAAATTTTGTTACATGCACAATCGGCCTTGTATAGAAAGACTGATATTGCCAATCCAAACAAGATATATTCTCAACAATCAAGGCGTATCCTTGATATCTCCAAGTACATGTCCCATTGGATAGAAATTTTGCAGATAACTGCAAAGGGAGGTATTATACACGAAGATGGACCTCGTGTATTGATATCGTCATCACCTTGTCGTTACGTGACATTCAAGGTGCACTTCTTAATTAAAGCTCAATATCCTTTGAACTACCAGTAAAGTGATGATATAAACAAAATTACCAGTATACAGCTCTTATCACATTATCACAGCTGTGTTCGTCCAGAGGACAAACATACCTCTGGTTTCACTTTGAGTTTTTATCACGTGTCCCTGTAAAAAAATCTACTGGGGTGCCGTGCGTCAGAGACATTCTAGACTAGCACAATTATAATATTATTTCTTTTGTTTCATGCGGGTTGACGATTATAATATTATATTTGGGTTTCATGCAGGTTGGTGAATTAACTGCACCGACGCGTAGTGCGGATGCACCTTTAAGACGTTCCGACGTTTCTCTTCGCCATCTCCCTTCTGGTGATGTAGTGGAGATCCACGTCCGTTGTTCTAAGACCGATCAATGTGGCAATGGTTGTGTAATTTGTATTCCCAGTATTTCAGGAGGTGATATTTCAATGTGCCCTGTTAATGCCGCCACACAATATTTGCGTGACAGCTCCCAGCACCCCACCCGGTGTTCTAACACATTTTGATAGTACGCTAATGACTTGCTCTCAATTTACAACGGTTTTGAGGCGGTCTCTTACATTTGTTGGCATACTCGATTCCCGTTTCACGTCCCATTCTTTTTGCATTGGTGCAGCCACATCAGCGGCGATGGATGACATTCCCGAGCAGGAGATCCAGAGGATGGATCGTTAGCATTCGGGTGCGCATTGGCGTTACATTCGCTAATAACCCCAGCCCTTGCTCAGTAAGGTCACAAACAATTAAAGAGCAACTCAAAAGAAAACACGTTTTCTCTGATTTTATCTGTTCAAATAAACGTGGAAGCATCCAAATTGAATGCAGTATCGTTTGTCTTCAGAGCTCAACTATAACAAGTTTAAAAGGTTTTCTCTGTTCATTCCAAGATGCAAATTCTGAATGCAGATTACGTCATTCTGAGAAAACAGAGAAAACGAGTGGAACCCTCGCCCTGTGTTCGTAGTGGATAAACCCTTGTGCATGTCAAACAGTGCATGCAGACATTCTTTGTAGCCATTGTTTGGTCAACTGCCAACCGCCCAAACAAGGTTGACCAAGCCAGGCGGGCCATCAATCGTTGGACCGGCGCTTTATTGAGGTTTGCGGCCGGTGGTGTTATTCCCCATCCCCAAATCGTTTGGGAAAATTCCAATCTGTTTCGGCACGATGGAGTACATCTGTCCTTCGAAGGTTCCCGTAGTTTACTTCAGGACTTCTAACAGGCTTTGATGGCGGCTTTTAACAGCCCATTTCTTATCTTACTTCGTCGAAACGCCAATGCCTTGAGAATCCCACTGCAAAAGTTTTGGTTGCTTCTTATTCCTTAATTTTCGCAGTTACTTGCCTTAAGGCTATTTTGGCTGCGGTCATTCTGCCGTTTGGCGGAATTTCATTCAGAACGCCGTCATATGACTTAGGCCTATCATTGCAGTATGCTAAAATTCCTGATTTTGTAGACACTACTGAAAATAAACTAACTTCTGGGTGCACAATATCTGAATGGTGGAAATATAATTATTAGATGATTCACGCCTCCAGTAATGCCGGGACTCTTGCTTAACTTGTCGTGGTGTTGCTATCGTAACCACCGGATCGGAGGCGAAGTTATTGTTGACGATGGCTTCGGGTTTCGCAGATCGCGTACGGCTGAAATATTTTGTAGTTATGAGTTAGATGTTGTTAGCTATTGATAGTTATCGATCTGCTCTGACCATACGTAAACAAAATTAAGCTATCTTGCCGATGCCTAATTACTTTACCAGCTGTCTTGTCGCATGGGGAAATAAACAATAATTAATACAGCTTGTCTTATTTGCCGCGTTAATGTTTTACATAATTTTGAATTCGATTTAAACATCTAGAGCACTCGTGAATACCCGGTTCGTGACTTCGTAATACGCACACGCATGCCCCGCTGATTGCAAACTTCATTATATGAGCACTCGAGCCGCGCCTTACCTTCCGCTTCCGTGGTTCCATGCGCAGTGGGCGTGGTTTGAATTGAAGTGAAGTCAGACCGTACCAATCGGATTGGAACATTTGGCTAACTTCAAGAACGCCGTCTGGTGACAATTAATAAGAGTTCTATATAAGAGGAGAGCTCGAACTGCTTCGGAATCGTCACGGCATCTTGCACAGAGAAGCCATCATGAATAGAACTGGCATCGTAGCACTTGCTATCACCATCCTGCTACTTGGTAAATTCATCGTGTCAATAGCTGGTCGTTTGTCTGACAGTTTGAGGCTTTTTTCAAACACTCCTACTCAAACGGTTTATATTTTGATTATTTTACTTCAAGGGTTAATTGAAGTGACAATGCACCTCAATTCGTTAGTGCACGATTAGATAGTTTGTTGAAAATATACACATGCCGATTTTGACTGATCGTGGTTTTCTGCATTTTTCTGCTTCTAACAGTGGGGTGTAGCGCAAGAGGCGTCGTTAAAGGTAAGCAATCATGAAGCAGGTTTACATTAGGAATTTTTGTCTTATTTATGACGACTTGATGACTGCTTTGCCATGACATGGTCCATTTGGCCGTTTCAAAACCAAAAAAGAGATTTTAATTACTGTAATCTGTCATTAAGACCAAGTTAAGAAAGTAGTCTCCACTCCCCGCTGGCTTCCCTCCCCCGAATTATTTGTTGTCGACTGGCAACGAGCCTCCTTTGTTTGATAATTGTTTCTAATGAAATATGTAGCTGTTTATCCGCTCAAAACAGGAATTAAAGATGACGTGTTTTGAAATGCAATTGACGGTCCTTTGTTATTCAAAGAACATGTGCGCAAGTTTAT